ATTACATTTGTTTTCATATTTCTGTCCGGATTCGGATTCGAATACGGATAGTGTCAACCATATCGGATAGGATACGATTGGATATCGACATCATAGATATGCGATTTGAGTATTCGGATACGGATACGGTATCGGATGTTGAATATCCGGACTCGGATACGAACAGATTTGAACCCCTTTAAACGGATTCGATCTCGAATACGGTCGGAAAATATCCGTACCGTTTTCATCCCTAGACATAGATACAACTGTATGCTATGTATGTATGTGAATGGATGTTTGTGTGATGTTCTACGATTGTCCAGTCGGTGAGATACACGTGGTGATCAAGAAGAAGAAGAAGGACATTGAAGATAAAGCTTACCGAAGGATCGGTGTGTAAGGCAAGTATAGCATGGGATTATCCTTGTTACCTATTCACACTTAAACACATAATTCATATTGCATGTGTCTACCTTGTTGCCAAATAGGATATCCTAGATATTTGATATCTTGCACCTTGAAAACCTTTGGGATATTGCATTGGATAGTTTTTGCTAGTGCTTAATCAAAACCATGATCTTGTAACTTGACTAATGATATATGCAATAAACATTAAAACATGACTTTTTAGTAACATAGAATCAGGGGGCTGGAGCGTTTATATGCTTCAGATTCCTCTCCCTAAGGACTTATCTGTAAGCGATCATCCGGGACTTACAGTACAGCTGTGAGGGCCATATGGCTCTGGCTTTAGCTCAGTATGAGGATCTTTTCTAGCTTGTTAGTGGTTACCTTTGAGGCGCGGGGTATGTTTCCTTTGCTGCTAGGAAGTGTGTACCGTGCTGCGATGCCCACGCTTGCCACTCCTAGAGATGGGCCACATACGCCTGGCGGCCCTAACTTGTTAGACAAAATCTTTTGAAAGGCTTCATAGTGAACCCTGCCGACCTTCCTTGGAAGTGGGTCAAGAGAATAGCTACCTCGGGCGAAAGGGTAAATCACAACTCACAGTGAACGTGTACAAACTCTGCAGAGTATAAAAACTGTTATAACAGCCGTGCTCACGGACACGAGCGACCTTGGACCCTTATGGAATAGAGATGATCACTAATGGATAATGATGATGCTAATGATCAATTGTTTATGCTATACATTATTCATGTTTACCTGATCATGTGTTTATGGGAATGATAAATCCTTTGCCACTCAATTGCTTAAGAAAATGACCTATTAAAGCTAATCGTAGTAAACCAGTGTCAGCCTTTTGAGCCTCATGAACCCCATGATATAATTGTTAAGTACGACATGTACTTACGCTTGCTTTATTTTTCTATACATTGGATAAAAATCCCGGATGGGTACCAGATTGCTGGTTTGGAGGAGTTAGGCTTGTGGTCAACCAGTCAGTCGTCCCTGTGGATTTGGAGTCTTCGCCAGAAGATCGGAATCAACTTTCTGCTGTCATTACTCTGAGGTTATTTTCCTTTTTACTAATACGTTATGTAATAAGTATTGTCTCTTGATATTACCTTTATTTGTGGCTATATGTGAGAATTGACTTCCTGGGCTCACATATAGTGTGTATCTAGTTTTGTCTTTAAAACCGGGTGCTACACATGCCCGCGCCGCCATGGCCGGCGTAGAGCTCCCTCTAGTGAGCATGCTGCTATTTTGAGGGTTGGGGTAGATTCGCGGGGTAGTGTAGGTCATGCAGGTGCGGTTTGCCTCGCCGGAGCCTCGCCGCCGGTGAGTTTGGCCGGCCAGAGCCGAAGACGCCGCCGTGTCCTGTATTTGTGTCGCTGACAGCGGGACCGGGTCGTTAGTGAGAGAGAGAAAGAGAACAGTGAGGTTTTGATATTTTCTAAATTATGAATAGTGCAGCAACTTTGGAAATTTATGGGAAAATAATTACAGCTCTAAAAATTCTGAAAATTTATGTGTAGCTTCTGTACATGTTCTATTATGGTTTAAAAATATGAAACTTGAAATTTGAATAAATTTTTAATGTTTAAAAATTCAGTCAATTAATTGATAAATGCAATTTCCATAATTTTTGTAGGCCACTGTATAACTCCAAAAATTATGAAATTTATTTTGGTACACTAATTTGTCATGAGGAAGCTTACATAAAATTTTGAGGTCATTTGGAACAAGTTCATTTTTAGCTTAATTCCAAATTTAATTCAAAAATGAATAAAAGCAAACCCTAAGTTTTGGGTTAGGGTTTGATCTTGTTTTGGTCATGTTTTGTGACCAGTAGGTTTTTAAGGTCAATTTGGTCAAGTCACTTGTGTGGTCCTTGATGGTAGAATTGCAAGTTGGTTTTGTTGGCTTGCAACTGTACCGCGAAGGAAAGTTGTATTCAAGGTGTTATTATATTTCGTGCACCATGAAAGCATCATGTTTACATTATCATCTTGTTGAAGAATATGTTATTATTTCATGTAGAATCCGAGAGTGAACCGATTCTAGCTGAGCAAGTTGTGGAAGAATCCCCGATTGTCTCGGGATTCGATATTTGTGGTACTGATCCAGAACCCGAGATCGTCAACGAAGGCAAGCCCCGATTTATGCATTAAACCATTACCTTGTTTACTTTGAAAAGTTTATCACCTGTGTTACCTATTGCATTAAGTTGATTAATTCAAATGTTACCTACTTGATGCATTGCCTACCTTGTTAATTGTTTACCATCCTTGAAGATGATTTCATTTACAATGGTGTAGAATTGCTTAGTATGCTTTATGGTAGGCTTTCAAAGTAAAAGTTTTGATACAATCAAAGATGGCATACTGGCCAAAGAAACAAAGAAGATAGAATGAACTAGAGACTAGTTGGGTGACTTATCTTGAATGTTGGGTAATATTGCCGACTATGTCGCTTAAAGGCCACTCATTGTGGATCTTCTGAACGAGACACTTTGTAGTATTGGTCACATACTCCGGTAAGCCTACTTCGACTAATCCGATACTAAGATGAATGCCCACGCACTGGGAGTGGAGAGATGGCGGGAGTAGCGTGTACCCTCGTGGCTGGAATGTGGCCGGATTTGAGGTGTGCTGTGCTCTCGGGTGGCGTGGAGACGGCTAAGTATGGGAGGATCTGGTAGCGAGGTTGATATATGCAAGATTAAGTTCTACATATGTCGTGTGATAAGGAATCCCCAGCTGGGACTTGAATCAATTCGAATTGCCGGTGCTCCGCGGATATGGAGACTCGATTCATTACAGAAGCAATGTAGGACTGGTGAATTACTAAAACATGAGAAACAGGAATGGAATGAGAAGGATTGAAATATGGGATATGAACACTTAGCTTGAGATAATGAACCAAAGTACTTAGGGGTAAAAATTGAAAATAGGATCAAGAATAGTAAGCTTTTGGCAAAGAACTTTTGAATATTGCTACATCCTTACCTTGACCCAACACCTGCATCCCTAAGACCTTCACCCCCTTTTATGTCGGGTCAGTCTTGTTGAGTACTTTTGTACTCAGGGTTTGTTAACCCTTGTTGCAGGTGAGTCGCATGCACAGGCTTGTTTTGGTCCTTGCTGCATGTCAGTGTTTGAAGTCGATGACGATGAGGAATGATGAATGGCCTTTGGACAAGGCACTAGTTTGTATGAAATAAATAATGTTAATGTAATATTATCCCGCTACTCTGGTTGTATGACACTTATGGTTTTGTAAGTTTGAAACAACTGGTTTGTAATACTAAAACTTAAGTCTTCCGCTTTATGACCTCTGATATGTATATTGAAAACTGTTGTAATCTGCAATGTCTGTGATTGGGATCCTGTTTGGAAAAGATTAGTGGATGATTCGGGTTTCCCGAGGACACCCGACAGACCAATTAAGGTGTTGGGAACTTGTGTACACTATCAGAGGTCTGTTGAGACATCGATAGGTGCACGTGGGCCCGATTTCTTAGGAGGTTCTGCCACAGGCGTTGGCTTGACTGGTCAAGCAGAAGGGGAGTTGAGGGTGAGGTGATGTCGCTGCTCCATCCCTTCCTCGCTCTCTTGCCCTTGCTCGCCTTCCCTCTCGCCCACCAAGCAGCAGCGCCACCGTCGCCATTGCCACCATGAGCTTCACCATGCTCGCTCGCTGCCACCGCAGCACCATTGTCCAATCGCTTATGCCAATATCTCTTCCTTGCTCCGCTCTATCACCTCGACCCACCATTATAGCCGCTCGAGCCCAGGTGAGGCCACATTCTGAGTTGCCATCACCGCCATGGCCACGGTGCGCCGCCGAGCATGAGCTCGCCATGGCTAGCCACAACCTGTGCACCTTCGCTCTCTCTCCCTCATCTAGTCTTCGCCATAGGTCCAAGAATCTATATCCACCATCCATTTAACCGCTACCGCCACCGCCACACGGGAACGTGCGACCGCACCGGGCGCGCCCACCATGGTCGTGAGCTCAAGCTCGCCGCCGCCGACCTCAACCGACCTCCCATAGACCACTCTAGTGCCTGGTATCATGTCGCCTAAAGCCATAGTGTCTTTCCCGGAGATGGAGACCCACCTCTCGCTGCCGGTTAGTCAGAACGGAAAGTGCCGCCGTCGTGCACTGTGCGCCGCCACGCCGCCATGCACATGGCCGGAGCACGCCGTCGCTCCACCGTGACCTAGACCTTACCCTAGATCTCCTCTAGCTCACCACGAAGCTGTAGCCATGCTCGCTCGAGCACGCCATTGCCGGGGAAGGCCGGAGCACCGCCGTGCACCTCCGCCAAGCCACCATTAGCGCTGTTGCCATAGCCGACCACCGTTAGAGGTCCGATGACCTACCTCATCCGATGCGGGTTGACGTGAGGAACACGACGGAGGTAACCTCGTCGCTGGAGACCTCGCCGTCGGTGAGCTATCACCGGTCAAATGACGTCCTCTGTTCTGTTTCGCTGACGTTTGGGCCCCGTTGACTGCGGTCCCCATCTGTCAGTATGTGTGTTTGTTTTGATTTTCTTATTTTTCACAAATTTGACTGTGGTGATGAGCTCCTTCTTGCTGAACCGCGCGTAGGAGAGGTCGCCAGAGGGGTTCATGGTCAGCACCTTCTTCGTCACCTGGGTCACCGTGTTCTTCACCGACATCTTGATGTTCTCCTCGAGGTGGCGCGAGTCAATGGCCTGGCACAGCGCCACGATGTAGGTGGACGACATGAGCTTTAGCATGTCAATGACCTCCGCGGTCTTCCTAGCGGAGACGAGGCCCAGAGAGTTGACATCCTGGTTGTGCTGCTCCGCACTCTGGACGTGGTTGGTGATAGGGTTGCCCAGGTACTGGAGCTCAGTGCAATAGGAGGCCATGGCGATCTCCGTGCCCTTAAAGCCATAGTCTAGGCTGGGGTTGCGGCTATTGGCCAAGTTGGAGGTGAGCCCGTTGTTGTAGAACTCATTGACGAGCTCGGAGAACTGCGCGAACATGAGCTTGCCGATGTTGGCGATGGCGAGGTGGGCGTTGTCCATGGACACGCCGATTAGCGTGCCGTAGAAGTTGCCGTCGTGCAGTGCCTTGCCGCGGTGGACGTCGATGATCGGGTTGTCGTTGATGGAGTTGACCTCGCACTCGATGGACTTGGTGGCGGCGCAAATGACCTCGATCTGGGGGCCTAGCCACTGCGGCGACGTGCGGAGCGCGTACCTGTCCTGCTTGGGCTTGAGCAGCGGGTCCAACTCGTTCACCTTCTTGGCTTGCTTCATGAAGGTGCTGCCGTCCAGGATGTGCTCCATGATGGCGGCGGCCTCGATGGACCCCGGGTGGTGCTTGAGCTTGTGGGTGAGGTGGTCGGTGTACTCGGGCTTGCCGTTCATGACCTCACAGAAGACAGCGGATAGGACCTCGGACAGGATGGTAAGGACGTTGGCGTCGTACATCACGGTGGCCGTAAGCACGGATCCCATGGAGGTGCCATTGACGATGGCGAGACCTTCCTTGGGGTTGAGCTTGAAGAAGCCACCCTCGATGTCGGCAATCTTGAACGCCTCGGTGGCGTCCACCTTCCTCCCGTCGACGGTGGTGGACTGCGCATTGGGGCGGCCTGTGATGAGGCCGGCGATGTAGGAGAGCAGGACCAGGTCGCCCGATGCGGTGATGGTGCCCCGGAGCAGCAAGCACAGGCTGACCCTGGTGTTGAGCAGGTTGGTGATGGCCTCCAGGATCTCGAAGCGGATGCCAGAGTAGCCCTGGAGGAGGGTGTTGATGCGCACCAGCATTGCCGCGCGGACGACCTCCGACAGCAGCGTGTGGCCATCGTTGCCGGTGCCGAAGATTCTGGCGTTGAGATGCCTGTAGGGGAGCGCACATGGGTCAGCCTGACAGCACCGATAGATGGTGAACCGAATCACGGACAGCCGGTCATTCCCGCTGTACCGCTTCGTCGTGGTCTGGTTGGACCAGACCAAACGTGGCTCAGGGGCACTGCATGTCCAAACTGAATTTTTCTCTCTCCTCAACCGGTGGAAACCGACCCGCAGTGTCCTCTGGCATAATTACAACAAACCAGAGTGTCTTCTAGCATACAGATCCACTTTTGGGTGTCCGCCAGCAAACGACCACCACTATGGGTGTCCGCCAGCCAATTTCCCTATAAAAATATGATTCCAATTTTTCTGATCTTGTGTTGACATGCTCTAACTAAGAAAATACTAAACCTAAAGTAAGAATGCTTAAATAATTGCTAGTTTCTTAAATAATTGCTAGTTTCTAGTGAAAATAAATGGGGTAAAAATACATAACTAATGATCATGCCAATTTTTACATAGTGATATGGTGCTAGGATGAATGTAGGAAAAATATGAAATCTGTTGTTTGACACTTTTCACATGGCTAAACTATTTTTGCTAAAATAAGCCTATGCAAATTGTCATTTTTGTAGAGATGGCTATACTTATCCAAATGCCATGAAATCTGTACAGTATACTATTTGGGACATATGTAGGCTACAGTAATGTTCTCACAATTTATTGTGCAATTTTGATATAATTTCCTTATTTCACCTTAGTGTCCAAATAAATTAATAAATGCATTTAAATAATTTATTTGGGCTTTACCATTATGTTTTCTAGAGTGTGTATGATGCCTATGAACTGTTGGTACCATTGGTTGTGCCCAAATTTGATTCCTTGTATGTAGTGAAATATTAATTGCTCTATAATTCAATTATAGTGACTGTACGGACAGTTTCGGTTGTTAAGTAAATTCCATGGGTAATATGATGTTTGCTGTGAATCTTGTTAATAACAAAGTTGTAAATAACTTACTTATATTTTTTGTGTCAAATTTTTATGGCAATAGGATAAATGGTTTGAGAGTTATAGCTGTTGGAAGTTGGTCTCTAGAAATGCTTATTCTTTGGAATTTCTGGACAGATCTGGGAAATTACTTTGTTTGACCTTGATAATCGTTGAATCATCTTGAGATGACTATAAGAAAGTTGTAGGTAGTTTTATAAGATTTCCATAAAGTCTAAGATCATGGTATTTGCTTGAGTAGAACTCTAGTTATAGCCAAAATAAGTAGCTGCTGTTTACAGTAGGAAATGACTAAGTCAATTGTAGTTGTTTGTCTTATGTGATGTTTGTGTACATGCTTAGGCTAATTGAGATTAGTTGTTAGCTACAGGTTCTAAGCCTCTTACTGATGATTAACAACTTTACCTTAGGTTACTAGAACTTGGTGAGTGTATGTTTCTTGTATTATAGAAGAGATATGCACCTACTCAGTATAGATCAATTAGAAGAAAGTTATACATCTACATTGCCAACGAATGTCAAACTTATCATACACCTTGCAGATAACCATGCTCATGCATGTACAATTTATCATATCATATCATCTCTTATGCATTCATGATACTCATTTGTGCATATGCATGCAATAGGTTCCTCGGAAGGAGTGACGCTACTCGAGTTCGAACCCGAGCATCAGGAGGAGCAGCAGGCAGCCCAAGAGTAGGAAGTTTAGGCGCAAGGAGGAGTCAACTTAGAAGATCTTCCTGAGTGTCCTGACCACCAACCTTCGTTGTTCTTGAAAGGCAAGCCCTAGAGCATTATAAGCCTCCTATGTTTTTACAAATATTACTTGCATCCTTTATGTTTGATGCATTAGGTTCTAGGAGTTGATTGGAAACACTTGCTGCATATATTATCCTTTTCCAGACAAATATATCTTGAATCCCTTGTAGGTCCAGGATTGAATATATGCTTAGCCTTGCTTAGTCCAGTAGAAGTCAGGTGATTTCCTATCACCTGAAACATATAGGTAGATAACTGATCACGGTTGGCTATAATTGCTATTGTGGAAATAACCATATGTTGATGAATAAAAAGGAGACCGGGCGGGATTGTGATAGAGAAGCACAAGGCATGGAGGTCTTGGTGCCTATTTATCCCCATCTGTGTTGGTTAAGGACCGATTCGCTATACGTCCTCATGTCATGTTGAACGCATGCGTAGCACTTAGTTGGCCAAATAAGTCGTTCTGATCGTGAAGCTGGGTAGCTCAATTCAGGTCGGGCCCCAATAAGTGAAAGTGTGCACACTGGAGGTAGTTAGGATGTGCGGAGAGCCAGTGGCGTGAGTCTAATGGCAGGCCAGGCCTGAACTTCCTGACATACTGGTAGAATCTCTGAGGGTGCGGTGCAGATCGAACCCGCCAAGTGGTTCCTGAATTGTACCAAAGGTGACCCGATGCGACCCCGATGGGGAAGTATGGGTTTCTATTAGGAATAATTCCCCAGCTGGGTAGGAATCGATTCGAATCGCCGTCTCTCCTAGATAGTGAGAACTTGATTGAGCAGCGGCAACGTAGAGTAACTTAATGGAAACTTGATGGTTATGATGATGCTCAAATTATTATACCAGATATGGTTACTAATGCTTGTTAGCTTAATCAAGTGATTGCTCTAGTACAGGTGCTAATCTAGAGATGCTTAATTGAATAGGTATTCAAATTGATGCTAGAGGTACTAAATCTCCAAGTTATGTTACTTAAGCTTTTATGCAAAATATTGTCAAGCTAACTCTACCGATAAAGCCTTGCATACTCCTTGGAGTCATATTATTTTTGGTTTATGACGGGTAAGTCTAGCTGAGTACATTCTCGTACTCATGGTTTATTCCCTCTTATTGTAGATGACATGATGAATCATGGGTACTATAAGAACTGCCTTCATCCTGCCGTGGATGAGGACTAAACCATGGGGCATGGTACTCCTAAGTTATCCCCTCTATTCTGCTTTTGCTGGAAATGACCGTGGTACTGGCATGTATTTGAACTAAGTGTGATGTTGATGTCAAACTACTTTGCTTCCGCTATTTGAACTTGGTTTGTAATAACTATGTAAACTCCGATGTATGTGAGATACTTGTGAATTATTTGTGAACTGTGATGTAACATGTGACTGGTTGTGTTGAATCAAGTACGATCTTGGTTTGTATGTTGGTTTGTTTGAGATCCTCCATGATTTCATCAGACTATCGGGTTTATATGGGCTCAAGTATGATAGTTTGATCGCTTCGATGATTGCTATTGTACTTGCGCTCTTATAAATTGGACGGTTCTGTTACAGCTGGCATTAGAGCAAGATTCAACACTAAACTTGTCATATGGATATTTAAAACAAAGTTTTGTTTTATGAAATCAGTTTGACAACTTATAGCAGTATATATAGGTGTGTTAAAAACCTAAATTTTAAATTTAGACTGTGTCAGTGGTCATATCTTTTATGCCTAGTTAAGGACTATCAAGTGGCTAAATAAGTACTAACATGGGGGTTTTACTTTCGTCGTCCATACGGCGTGCTATTGTATGGTTGCCATTCACTTGAGTGGTAATGTATGGATCAATTGCTTCTACGCCCAAGGTAAGAGTGGCAAGAACGCAAGGGTGAGTGTGCGGTCTAAGGGGAGAGGTAGCTTTGGTACTGCGGTATATATATATGTCCCATATATATATACTAAGGTATTTAATTGTGGGTTAGCTTTGATACTTCTGTAGATGCATATTTATATGTATGTATGGCGCGTATTTACTTTCGTGTACCTTTGATACGGAAGTATATGTATGGGTATACATATATGGAAGTATTTAGTTGCAATCTAGAGCCCAGATTTACATTTTTTCATATATAAGTGTTGCGTTGGGCTGAAATGAAATTCTTGTGCAGTTTCACTAACAGTGAAATGTGTAGCCCGATTAGTTACGTATATTGAGATAACGTATGTATGCCACCGTGTATGTTGTTAGAATTTTAAATTTTTTCCTAAGATTCGTGAGGACGTACGGAACATGCATGCATCATGTTCACTTATGCATTTACATTTTTGCGTTCCTCCCTTACTTATAATTGCTTACCCCATTCATTAAATTTCTTCTCACGTATGATATCCTCTCACAAGAGTTGCACACTTTGCTATAGATGACAGCACCAGGAGCCCCGCCTCGCAGTGACATGTTCCTAGCTGTGTTTGGCACTCTGACCTTGCTGTGGAGGGTGCTAAACTCAGTTGGGTACGCTCAGCCACCCCGCTACTTCTAGAGGGAAGTGGCAGCTGAGGGGCAGCCATGGTATGATGTGCGGGTGACCATTCTAGCCCGTGCAGACAATCCATAGTGGCAAGGTTGGAGTATTGAGTCAGATGGGCAGCCTCCTTGGGAAGGTGCCCAAGTGGTAGCTTTGGAGGCACTGAGTGAAATCTATCAGGAGTTTGGTGATGAGCTTCTCAATGGTCCAGCCAGAACCTTTCCCCTAGTGGTTCCGTCAGTGATCGCTTGGATGCAGCCGGGTGGTAATGCACTGGTGAGGGACCGTGATGAGCGAACAGAGAGCTCTAGTGCTGCTATGAGCGCTATGTTCGATGTCCTGAAGATGTTCTACTCCCGCCAAGACAGCTACGTCAGCTGCATGCTAGAGCTCCAGCGAGCATAGGCTGCACAACGCTAGCTACGAGGACATGTGCGCAGGCATCGAAGGGCAGCTAAAGAGGCTCAGGGGGAAACCGATAATGCTATTACAGCTTTAGAAGCTCGCTGGGTTCAGTTGGTGAATGTTGTTCTAGAAAGAGATGTAGCTAGGGCTGAGTTACAGGATGTCCATGCTGAGAGGGATGAGGTCATTCGCCTTGCTGAGACTAGGGAGACAGCTAGAATCTGGACTGTGTTTCAGGCTGCTAGGCACTCAACGAAGTTTGATAGCAGAGAGCAGGAACTCATA